GTCCTTATTCAATCCTGAGTTGATTGTGTCTAGTTTGCATATCAATTCCAGCTCAGCAGTCTCTCGTTGGAGTCTGTTTTTGAAGTTTTTCTGTTGTAATATAGCCACCCGCAGGTCTGTCATTGAATGACCAGACAGGTTAAAGTGTTCTCCCACTGGTTTTTGAGTATTATGATTCCTGATGTCAGATTTGTGTCCATTAATTCTTTTGCGGAGAGACTGTCCGGTTTGGCCAATGTACATGTTTCCTGGACACTACTGTGCTAATAAGCGATGGTCACATAAATACCACCCTATACCGGAAACCTACTGACCGCTATACTTACCTACATGCCTCCAGCTTCCGGACAGTCTCTACGCAAAAGAATTAATGGACACAAATCTGACATAACACATCAGGAATCATAATACTCAAAAACCAGTGGGAGAACACTTTAACCTGTCTGGTCATTCAATGACAGACCTGCGGGTGGCTATATTACAACAGAAAAACTTCAAAAACAGACTCCAACGAGAGACTGCTGAGCTGGAATTGATATGCAAACTAGACACAATCAACTCAGGATTGAATAAGGACTGGGAATGGCTGACCCAAGCAGCACGGATGCAAAATGGAAAAGCTTGGGCTAGCAGGCTACATGGAAGCACTTATTACTAGGCATGGTGCTTTCTACTCTGAGAAGTTCCACTGTCAATGGGACCTTCCATGGGAGTATGCATTGCACCTGGTAAAAATGGATGGCAGGATTGGGCACTAACATTGTCACAACTATATTTTCTTATCTGACAAAGCACATTTAAGATCCAGGTAGTCTTTAGACCTTACATTCTCGCTCCCCGGACCCTCAAAGCCTGCTATATTTCAGGCCTGATCAGATTATAAATGTTTTTAAACCACCACATACCTTTTAGGATCCATACATTCGCTGAGATTCACCATTCTTGGACCCATGCCTCCTTTTTGATTTTTCTCCCATCCAACAGCTTTTGGACAATCTACTTTTCAGAACAAACAAAAAACTCCGATATTAAAAACCTAAATTTCACCTTGCCAAACAAAAAACAAACAAACCCACCTTTCCCAAAACTGTCAATTCATTAAGGATGTTAAATAACAGAACTCTTCACTGCAATAGAGATTCTTTTGTATGGCAAAAATTTGGTAGAAAGTGTCCCTTTTTTCATATTGTGTGCACTGCACACTGCTTTTTATTTATTCAGTGTTTTAAAGCATGTTAGTTGAAAAGTCTTAGCTAACATGCTTTTAAACGTACCTTGTTTTCCTGGTCTGGACAGAACCTCTAACATACTGAACCTAAATAGATTCAGCTGCACCTAATTAGTTCCCAGCTGTGAGTGTCTCCCTGAGCTGTCTCTGGACTCTGGCTGGGAATTAACCATCAAAATCCCATGCCATTGTCAAGACAGATGGGTCTTCTCCTAAGGACACCATTGGGGCAGGGGATAGCAGGTCTCCAGATCCTCTCAAGAGAGTACCAAAAATCTTGTTCACCCACACACACGTGCCTATATCAGCTTTTAAACTGAAGCCTCCTATATGTGAGTATTAAATTTGGCATCTAGAGATGTATTTTTTCAGCACATCGCATCCACAGTGTGCTAGGCACTTTAGAGACAGAGAAAAGACATGGGAAGGAGAGAGAAGGGGAGGAGAAAGGTTACAAGAATAAGAATGTGTGGTTCTTTTGATTAGCAATATTTAATATTACAGATGGAGACTTAAAATGTAAGCTTGTTAACTGACTACTGTAATATCTACACTGATCTTTCCCAAGTATTTCTTAAACTTCTTATAAGTAATAAATAACAGTGTGATTCTCAGAGCTAGAAGAGAGGCATCTGTGTTTTATTCCCAGCTCTGACAAAGACTAGCTACAGTCCTGATCCTGCAAAGAGTTACACTCATGTTTAAAGTGGTGCATATGCATGACTGTCTGCAGGACTGGGGGCTAAGTGACCTTGGACAAGTCACTTCACTTCTCCATGATTTGGTGTCCCTATCTGTAAATAGGTATAATACCATTCGCTGACCTTGCATGGATGGTGACTTTTGTTTTAACTATTATTTGTGAAATACTCTGAGACCCTCAGATGAAAGGATCTATAAATTATATTGCATCAGAACAGAACAAAACTATCAACAGCAACTGAGTCCTGGTTTCCCAAATTTACAACGCATTACTCTAATTTCCTTCAGGTCTTAATATCACAAAAATATCCCGAACATACCAAAATTGTGATTTTTATGGTTTTATAAATCCACTTTGTACTCTCAAAAGTACCTTGTTTCATGCACTTAATATGATTGTGTGTATTTTTGATAGTCTAGTGATTAAACACACTTTTAATAAGAAATGACAACATACATTAATAATGTATGCACTGTGACAGAAATTACCTGTGGCTGTATCATGCTTGTAATTAAAATGAGAGCATAAAAGATTGATGATTACACCAAAGAACCTTACTCTCAAAGTAAATTATCCTCTTTCCTTCTAGAAGATAAAACTATTTTCTTCAGAAAGACATTTGAATAATTTAAGATGCACTAAAACAATGAGGAGTCGAGTGGCACCTTAATGACTAACAGATTTATGTGGGCATAAGCTTTCATGGGTAAAAAACCCACTTCTTTAGATGCATGGAGTGAAAATTACAGAAACAGGCATAAATATATATTGGCACATGAAGAGAAGGGAGTTCTCTTACAAATGGCGAACCAGTGTTGAAGGCTAATTTAATCAGGGTGGATGTGGTCCACACCAAATAATTGATGAGACGGTATCAATACAAAGAGAGGAAAAATTGCTTTTGTAGTGAGCCAACCACTCAAATTGAAGGGGTTAAGTTTGCAAATGAATTGTAGCTCATCAGTTTCTCTTTGAAGTCTGTTTTTGAAGGGTTTTTGTTGTTGTTGTTGAAGAATGGCTATTTTTAAATCTGTTCTTGAGTGTCCAGGGAGATTGAAGTCTTCTACTGGGTTTTGTATGTTACCATTCCTGATGTCTGATTTGTGTCCATTTATCCTTTTACCTAGAGACTGTCCGGTTTAGCCAATGTACATGGCAGAGGGGCATTGCTGGCACATGATGGCATATATCATATTAGTAGGTGTGCAGGTGAATGAGCCTCTGATGGTGTGGCTGAGTCCTACGATGGTGTCACTAGAGTAGATATGGGGACAGAGAAGGCAACGGGGTTTGTTACAGGCACTGGTTCCTGGGTTAGTGTTTCTGTGGCATGGTGTGTAGTTGCTGCTGAATATTCGCTTCAGGTTGGGGAGCTGTCTGTAAGCAAGGATTGGCCTGCCTGTGAGAGTGGGGGATCATTTTCCAGGATAGGTTGTAGATCGTTAATGATGAGCTGGAGAGGTTTTAGCAGCGGGCTGTACAACCGCATTTGCTCCAATCCCTCAGACAGAAACAAACACCTACAAGATCTCTATCAAGCATTCTTGAAACTACAATATCCACCTGGGGAAGTGAGGAAACAGACTGACGGAGCGAGACAGGTACCCAGAAGTCACTACTACAGGACAGACCCAACAAGGAAAATAACAGAACACCACTGGCCATCACGTACAGCCCCCAGCTAAAACCTCTCCAGCTCATCATGAACGATCTACAACCTAACCTGGAAAACGATCCCCCACTCTCACAAGCCTTGGGAGGCAGGCCAATCCTCGCTTACAGACAGCCCCCCAACCTGAACAGGACTCCTCGTTGTTTTTGTGGATACAGACTAACACGGCTACCCCTCTGATACTTAAGATGCACTATATTTGAGGTAGCAGTTAACACCAGCAACAAGTTAGCAGCACTAATTTCTCTTCCATCTTCTTAGTGATCATAGAGAAGAGAAGTCAAGTAACATCAGTTTCTGTATTCTGAAAGTCATCCTTTGACAATGGATTACCTGGGCTCTGTGGCATCTGTGGAAGATTTATTTCAAAGATGCTGCTGTGTGTTATGTCTCTCACACCTTGCATGGTCCTGTCTCTGAAGCAGAGCACTTCGACTGAATGGAGGTGGTTACCCCTGGCGTTAAAAAATAAATAGCAAGGTAGTTATAAAAGATCTGGCACTCCTCCAGCAGAAGGATGCTCAAACAGGAGGATGCTCAAACAGGAACTTCACTTTATTAGTCCTCTAGTGTCATACAGCTTTAATCCTTTGGAAACTCAGACTATGACAAATCTTCCATTGGTATTGGATTCATATACGATAACATGCCTATATTTCTATCTGATCAAATATGAAGAAACCCAACATGATTAATGAATACCTAAAGTAGTCCACCTTTATATGGAAACTGGTGCAGCTCCACTGAAATTGCACTCAGGACTTCCACATTGTTAACTACCCATCCGCACAGTGTTACTGGGAACTAGAAGCACCATATGTTTTGAGGCATAATGACCAGAGAAGCCCCAGAGTACAGTGTAATAAAGTTCTAATGACAGTGCAGCAGGAGGTGCCATCCTACCTCCTTCATGACTTAATACACTCCTCAGAATCCTTGATCTGATTCAATTTTTGCCTCCTCACCCTTCACCAACTTAGCTCTGCACCCATTATTTATATTCACTCACTGCTGGGCATCAAAGTAAAAGAATTAGGTGTTTGGAAAATAACTGAATTTGGGATTCTCATATCCCCACAGGATGCACAGATAAGTGATATGCACACGGATATACCCTCCTATGCGATCATTCACCTAGCAGCCTGGAAAATGCCACTGTTAACATGGTTAATCGAAGGTTTATTGTCTCATTACACGTTACTAGAACGTCAAAAATTTGAAGTGGCAGCTTAAATTAATCAAACAACCCAATGTTAGATGGATGGTATTTTATAACGCAAAAGATGACAGTGTGAAATAAACCAAAAACAAATGTTCAATCAGGCAATGCAGAAGAACTTTAGAGTATGTGTTCTTCAGACTTTAGCTCATGTACCATTGGTGGTCATTTGACAGTTTTATTCTCTGGAGCAAAACAGCTTTCCAAGGGCACTTGCACACATTAGCATCCTCAATCAGTCGGTGCTACACAACAAATCCAGAGACTAGACTGGCTTTCAGGTTTTGCTTCTACTCACTTAGAAATCTGCTATATGATGAAGTGGCAGTAGCTGCTCCTTAGTTTAAGTTGAAGGTAGTTTGCCTTTATAAACTCAGTTATTAACCCTCCTCTACTCCAAATTCCCCTAAAAGAGGATTTTTATTTTTTATTTTTTTTTACTTTTACCAAACTTTTCAGAAATAAATCTCTGCTCTGGAATGTGATGTAGCACGTAAAATTTCAGAAAGATTTGGAGCGGAGAGAATTTAAAAACAGGGCTCAAAGAAACTAACCATTAAGAATGTGGAGGGGAGCAGCCAAAAAGTGAAGGACTATATGGAAGTAGCAACAGGCTGGGTCCCCGGCCTTTGCCACTAAAATTTGCAAAAATATGCAGAAAGATCAAAATAACAAATTTCTAAGGTATTTCCTATTCAAGGGATCCATTTCCAACACACTCCTAGTAATTTCTTATTTTCACCTTTGCATATATTTTTGCATATTTCAGGGCAAAGTTAAGGTTCAGGGTGTGTAGTGTAAGTCAGGTGGGCCGAAAAAAGGGCTCATCTAATAAGAGATAAAACCAATACCATCTGTGTGCTGCCATGACCAGTAAGTTCCTCAGCGGCCATCCTGGATACTGGGTAAAATTGCAGGGATCATAAACTCCAACCGTCACCTGCAAACAAAATAGCCCCATTGAAAACTCTATGCATAACAGCACAAGATTCACAGGAATACAGTGTATCTTGTTATCTTACATGTTATGTCAGTAAGAAATCACATATGGCATTTAAAAAGTAATTAACAACGCCTACCAAACTATGACATATTGCAGGGGTCGGCAACCTTTCAGAAGTGGTGTGCCAAGTTCACTGTAATTTAAGGTTTCGCGTGCCAGAAATACATTTTAACATTTGTAGAAGGTCTCTCTCTCTGTCTATATTATATAAATAAACTATTGTTGTATTTAAAGTAAATAAGGTTTTTAAAATATCTAAGAAGCTTCATTTAAAATAAAATTAAAATGCAGATCTTATCAATTTAGTGTGATCCTTGCCTGGGATCCTTGTCTGGGGTTCCGGCTGCCAGCCCCTTGTCAGTTGGAGTCCCAGCCGCCGGCCCCGCTCAGCATCCTGCCGGCCTGGGTGAGCAGAACCCCAGGCTGGTAGCGGGCTGAGGGGGGCCGGTGGCCGGGATCCCGGCTGGCAGAAGGTGGCGGACGGAACCCCAGACCAGCAGTGGACTGAGCGGCTCCATTCACTCAGCTGGCGGCAGGCTGAGCGGGGCTGGCGGCAGGCTGAGCGGCTCAGCCTGCTGCTGGACTAGGGTCCCGGCCACCGGCCCCGCTCAGCCTGCCGCCAGCCCCGCTGCCAGCTGAGTGAATGAAACCATCCCAGACAAGGATCCCAGGTCCTGCTCAGCCCACTGCTGGTCTGGGCTGAGTGGGGCCGGCGGCGGGCTGAGCAGCTGTCTGCTGCCGGTTTGAGGTACCGGCCGCTGGCACCGCTCAGTCCGCTGCCTGTCTGGGGTTCCGTCTGCCAGCACCTGCCAGCCAGGATCCCGGCCGCCGGCACCCCTCAGCCCGCTATCTGCCTGGGGTTCTGCTCAGCCAGGCCAGCAGGAGGCTGAGCAGGGCCGGCAGATGGAACCCCAGACCAGTAGCCGACTGAGTGCTGCCGACACCTCACGGACTGCTGCCGGCACCCCAGACTGGCAGCGGACTGAGCCACTCAGCCCGCCTCCGGCTGAGTGAATGGAACCCCAGGTTGGCAGCAGGCTGAGCATGGCCGGTGGCCGGGACCCCAGACTGGCAGCGGGCTGAGCGGCTCAGCCCACCACCACTCTGGGGTTCCGGCCACCGGCTCCTGACAGCCGGGGTCTCAGCCGCCGGCCTGCTCAGCCCGCTGCCAGCCTGGGATTCCCTGGGGGTCCCCAAACCAGCAGCAGGCGCTGAGTGGGGCCGGTGGCCGGGATCCCGGCTGGCAACAAGGCAGCAGCCGGAATCCCAGAGAAGCGGTGGGCTGAGCCGCTCAGCCCGCCGCCGCGTGCCATCAAAAATCGGCTTGCATGCCACCTTTGGCACGCGTGCCTGACGTTGCCGACCCCTGACATATTGTATGCCATTTCACGCCGTTTAATGTTTCCCACGGCTCCCAGTTTTGTTCATTTTTGCCACCTAACATTCACTTGTACTTCACTACACCATATGCATTTCCTCAACTATCTAAGCCCAAAAAGCAGTTTTGTAAAACCTGAAGATGCCGACCAAGTGGTCAGATTATTGCCTTGCAAACCTCCCTGTTGATGGATGGTGGATAATCATGATATAAAAAGAGACAGGGTAATAGATGCTGGGTCAGTCAATGTAAAAGTAAAGTCACTGGCAAGGACAATCCTCTATTAACGGATTTAAGCACAGAACTCCAAAATTGCCCTCCTAACTGAACACTAAGAAAGGACTTTATTTGGTATGATACAGGCTTCTCTCATATAGAGGAAGATTCCATCTGATAGGGCGTGCTTGTATCTATGATCTAATAGTATTTCAAATCACACTTACTTAAAGTGCCACTTTTTAAATTTAGTCTTTAAAGTTTCCTCATTTCAAAACAACACCTACATAGCCACAATACAATATTTTCCTTATTTTAGAAAAAGAATGGAAAAAGCAGAGGAAATAATTGGAGCTCAAATGTTACAAAACAGAGTTGAACTACTTCAATGACTATTTTAATTTCTTCCCTGTGTGAGAGATATGAATAGGTTTACAGATTTCTGTTCTGCATAATTAGCTCTCCCTCAGCCTCAGTTATGGAGCTTTGCTCCTCAGTAAATTTTTAGCATTATAAAGCAAAAAACTATTCAAGGCTCTGAGTTAAGGTTAGTCAAAGTAAAGAGGGCTCTGAAGAATTTCAGAAGGATCTAATAAAGCTAGGCACCTGGACAACATGATGATAAATGGAACAGATAAGTACTACGTAATGTATAACTAGCTTGGTCAACCCTTGCCTTGATGCCTTCTGTTTTATGAATTATCAGGATGGAAATTCTCTTGTGGCTCCAAGGAACGTAGAGTGCTTTTTTTGCATTCAGAAGGAGACATGCAGAGAATGATTTCCCCATAACAACATAAAAAAATCATTCCAACCTCATCTAACCAACATTTAGCCTGTATCACATCTACGGGACTATGAAAGACTTAACTTTACACTGTTCAAATACAGATTTTTTTTTCAGCAGAGTTAAAAAAGGAGCCAGTTTTTCTTGTATTATTGCTGGTACTTTGAAAGATACAAGCTGAATATAGTAATATTAACATTTTTTATTAATTTATAATGGGACTATATATTTTCTTTTGTAGAAGGCCACTGTTATAACATTTCCAGGTGTACTTAAAGCTAGTGCAGCAACTATAGAAATGATTTGTTGCATTCTCCTCCCCTACATGCAGCATACAAGCAAATAAATAACAATATAGGTGGGCTTTGCACTTACCTAATGCTATGTGTTCAAAGCGACTAAGAAATATTATTAACTCATCCTCATAACAGCCCAGTAAAGTAGTTAAGTTTTATGATCTCTCTTTTAAAGATGCGGTAATGAGTATAGGGAGCTCAAGTACCAAATTTTCAAACCATCCACTAATTTGGGATGCCTGGACTTTTGGATACCCTGGTTGAGATGCCTAAAGCTATGCTCCCCGAAGTCCAGGTGTAATCAATGGGAGCAACTGGTGTTCAGAGACTTGACCTACTCTACTCAGTGGACAAGCACTGGATCTCAGTATAGTATTCCAGTGAGAGGTTAAACAGTTTGTATATTCAGCACAAATATTTCTGGCATCCGAGCATATGTGCAAAATTCCACTTACCTTTTCCTCTTGATCTTGGAAAAAATCATTCCAGTTTTTAAGCAGTGACACCAAAACAGATTTGTCATTATACTTGATTAAAAAGTAAGGCAAGGCAGTAACTCCTTCCCTCTGGCAAAGTTCATCATATGCTTTCTGGAGCGCTTGAATCTGAAAGCAAAAAGATATAACAGATGGTTGGAATTATCCTAATTCAACAGTGCCTGTGTGAGTTTAAAAATATTTTCTTAACTGAATATGTAATACTTTTTTTCTTTTAATTTGCTGAACACAAGTGTATCTATTCTAACAGTTTTTAACCATTTATTCCGTAGTTTAAAAAAAAAACTATAACCAAGCATCTGAGAAATAATATGCAAAAGTTAAAACCATATAATCTTCAATGCAAACCAGGCAGAAGAAGCACTGCTGCCACTGCTGCAAACTGATATATGGAAAAAAAGATAAAACAAAATTAAAGTGTTATTCTTAGGGCCAAAACAACTTGCAAATCTGGAAGTCCCCTAAATAATAATAGTCCTACTGTTAGAGAGAGAGGGGGCTGAAAGCTCTGCTTTGTCCTTAAAGTACAAAAAAAAATTAGCACAGGATCAGATGGTGATAAACACTGATCATGATGCTGCATAATGAAGAGCATCATCCATTCTAGCTACTTTGGAACATCAGTTTTCAGTGGTCAGCTGCAATTGCAGCTTTGGATCCTGACATCTACAACTGTACCACTGAATACCATCCTACATAAACTATGTTTTTTTCAGAGAAACAGTCTTTAGTCCTCCATTCTGTTTAAAAAGGAAGTATGAATAACCACAAAAACTAAACTTTCTTTCCTACTTTCAAAATACTCAACTGTTATTAATTAGAGAGACAAGGTGGTTGAGGCAATAACTTTTATGGACCAACTGCTGTTGGTGAGAGAGAGAAGCTGTAGCTCCAAAGCTTGTCTCTTTCACCAACAACAGCGTGACCAATAAAAGATACTACCTTACCCACCCTGTCTCTCTAATATCCTGGGACCAAGTCGGCTACAACAACACTGCATACAACAATTGTTATTATCCAAATTGCTACAGTAAAGGTAACTGATTCTTCTAATACTCATTAGTAACCACCTAGAACATTCCTGCAAGAATACATCTAAACCATTTCTAGAGGTGTATTTTAATTGTATTCCACTGTTAGATGATAAAATTCGCTGTGTAGCTCACTCACTCCAATTAAAACAAAGGGTACAGCTGAGTAACTCTACAATTTCTTTTTACCTTTGTAGCACAGAATAAACAGACTCATTCTCCCCTCAGGAGTTCCTACTTTCTCTCTGTCTCATAACTTAGTTCCCGTCTTCCCTGAACAATCATGTGTTAACATTTTTTTACAGTACTTCTACAAATAATCCAGGCATATATTTTAAACCAACATTTTCCTAACCTAGAAGAATGATTATGATGATTTATTTCCAATGAGAATGCTTTATACCAGCAGTTCTCAAACAATGGGGTGGGCCTCCCAACAGAAGTGTGGGAATGTGACAAGGGAGGCGTGAGCTGTGTGGGTTTTTTTGATTAAGAGCTCTGGCTTTCAGCCTCAGGTGGCTGGCGCTTTCACAGAACAGCCGTGTACGCCCGGGAGGTCAGGATAAAGGGAAAAGCTGGAGCCCCACCGCACTGGGACTGATAGCCAGAGCCTGCCACCTGGGCTCAGGCTCTCCTCCCCTCCCCAACAGCTGGAGGCAACCCCAGGCTCAGGCTCTCCTTCCCACCCCGCACCTGGAGGAGGCAGGGCTCTGGCTATCAGCCCTGGAGAGGCAGCAGCACAGAAGTAAGGGTGGCAATGGGGCACTAAGTCTGCTGTGAAAAGTGATATTGACGAATATCACTTTTCACATTGCCACTCTTACTTCTGTGCTGCTGCTGGCGTGGCGCTGCCTTTGGAACTGGGCGCCCAGCCAGCAGCCACTGCTCTCCGCTCTGCCTTCAGAGCTGGGTGGAGGTATACGTACTTGGGGGAGAGGAGGCGTAAATGACTACAGACATAAAAAAGGGGGGCTCGATCAAATAAGTTTGAGAACCACTGCTTTAGATCATCCATCACCATATTTTCAGTCAAAAGAAAAAAATTGAAAGGTGCCACCTTGAGCCATCAATGAAAAAGGCTCCACCACAGTCCACACACTGAGATGAAACAGTACCATTTAAAAATACATGTTCAATTTACCAAATTCAGTTAAGACCTTTTTTAGTACAAAGGGCTTATGATATCCTCAATACGCTCCTATAATGTCAATCTTCATTAGTGACTCACATCTTTCACTATAAGATGCTCCATCTACAATCATTTTAGTCAGAATAGTAAAATAATTGTTTCAAATTCTACCAAAAAAGCTAAACAGTTATTAAAGACATAACTGTAAAGAAAACTGATTTAAAATCAATGTTATTAAATAATTGGATTCCTGTGAATTTTCAGTTTCTAACCAAAAAGCCGGAAGCTGTTGCCAAACAGTCACCCTATTTTCTAAACTGTTTTCCTCAGGACTTTCCTCTGCAAGTCTACACTTTCTGATACAGTCCAACAGCTTTTTCTTTGCTACCTCCTTCTTTTCTGAAGTCTGACCTCTAGTTCATCAGTCAAATGTTTCTGCTGATGACAGAATCTTGCTATCACACCAGCCTCCTTTTCTGTCAGATAAAGTATCATCCACCATACCCTCAACCTTCTTCTTCTTCTTTCCAGGCCAGCCATGATGTTCTCTAGACCCAAAAGTTATTAATATATATTATTTGTATTGCAGTAGTACCCAGACATGCCCCATTGTGCTAGGTAGCGGGCAAACACAAACATTCACTGCCCTGAAGAGTTTAATATTTTCAATAAACAAGACACACAAAAGGGTGAGAGCAGAATAAATTTCTCCGAAGGCTGAGCAAGCCCCTCCCCAGGCTCAGTATTCCCAGGCTAACAACTAGAGCTAATTAGGAATTTTTTGATGAAACATATTTTCATTGGAAAATGCCAAATCTGTATAAACCAAAACCACTGTGGAAAAACATCAGTTTCAATGAACTGCCTATTTTAAAAAAAATTGATTTTTTTTTAAATTGCCGTTTTGACATTTTCAAAACCATTTTTTGATTCTGAACAACTTCTTGTTTAGAATTTTATGTTAATTTGTAGTAAAAAAGTACAAAAACGTTTAAAAATGGTCAAAATTGAAACAAAATACTTCAAAATCATCAACATGTTTCAACTGACTTGATCTAATACATTTTTGTATTTCTAGGTTGGTTTGGGGAACTTTTCCAGAATCTCAAAAATTCTCATAAGATGGGAAAACTATTTCCTGATCAGTTCTATTAACAACCTACTCTCCCAGACCACGCTGCCTATGAAATGCTTAAAAATCTTTTGTACATTCAATATTCTGTCCAAAGATGCTAAAATGAGCCCAGTCATGATTTATACTCAGCCTCTTCGGCTAACTGGATTGTTGCAAGAGGCAATAAAACATCAAAATGAGAATTTTATGAAGTAAAAAAGAAATAAAAGTGTAAAATCAGTAACTTGAATAAACTAGCTGCTCTAGTTAAAACTCAGCAAGTTCAAGGACAAAATATGTAGTTTTACAGGCAACAAGAAAGAATGATCTCTACTAAAGATTTGACAGTTGGTGTCTGAGTACCTGAGTTGGAGAGAATCTTTCACCTAGGCAGACTGCCTGCTGAACAATAGGTATACCATCAGGGAAGCAGAGAGCAGGGTAGCAAAACCAGTAATAGAAGCGATACTTTTTTAAATCCTAGGGGAAAAAAATATATATATGCACATGTTAGAAGACAAATAATTACTAACCGAACTAGCCACTTAAAAACTGAGTGATTATAGCACTTCCAATTACAGCTATGGCCATGATCCTGCAAACACTTAAGCAGGTGTTTAACTTTGCTCATGTGAGCAGTCCCATAGGAGTAAACTTAAGAATGTGTGTAAGTATTTTGCAGACTAGGGGACCATGAGAACTGTGTTAAAGAATTACACAATAGGAAACTGAGTTAATTCCATTTTTTATTATTAAATATATTTTTTAATTTCTTGGCAAATATAGCAATGCAGCCCCAGACCCCAAGGGGCCTCATGGAATTTTGCAATAAGACCTGAGACGCACACCACGCGGGGTGGGCCGGCAGTCCCAAACCCGCCATGGCAGCCTGGACACCGTGTCGAGCAGCCGGGAACGTGGACCTTGCCACGCAGGCCAGCCTTTAGCACACAGCTGAGCTGGGCCACATGCAGCCCATGGGCCGCTGGTTGAGAACCGCTGCATCAGAGGTTCCCAATCTGTTTTCCATGGACTGCTGCAAGTTTGTGAAGCAGTTGCTGGTGGTCTATGGATAGATGGTTGGTCACATGAGGCTGGCTCTCTTTCTTTCTCGTTACTAAATTGCATTAAAATACAGCCAGACATATAAGAAATAACATCCTAACATTACTTTTCAATGTAAACAATTGCTACGATTGCCAAATATATGTAGTGTAAGGATTTCCATACAATCAAGAATGGAAGGAGAGGTTGTCTCCAAGAGAGACACCATAAAATATTTCAGAATCCCTGCACTAGACATAACTTACTCCACTTCTACTGTTAAACCGATTTTATTGGACAGCACCATAATGCAGTTAAACTATAAAGCTGCAGAAATCAGTTTTGCGTATTCTTATAGGATACCAACTGTCTTATGGTGATGTACTCATCTGTTGCTTCTATTTTTGAAAAAAGAAAGAGTTTGAAATTGTTTTAAATATGCCACATTATCATACATATAGTTATTTTTTTTTATTTAAATAGACCAGATGGATGAAAGCTTTTAAAATGGTCACCACAAATGTGTGACCAATGTGGAGTACAGCCCAGTTAGAAATCACCCTAGATTTACCTCTTAACTTTTATCTCTCCTTCTTCATGTTAATCCCATCAACTGGGGTCCACTCAACAAGCCCTCTCCCACTAAGGTGCTCTGTTCAATGCCATATCCTCTATCACACCACATGCTAACATGTCTTCCTTCATGACATCCCACCACTTTTTCTTGGGTTGGCTTCTCTGTCTTTTTCCTTCCATCTTGATCTCTTGGTCTCTCTTACCGACATAGTTGCCAGGACTGCGCTTTACATGACCAAAACATCTGAGTCTGCATGCCCTCATTTTTTATCCCTATGGCTGTCAGAAGTAACAACTTTGTACAAACAGTTGTCATGATTAAACATGGTGAACTTTTCCTTATTTAAATATTCCCTTATAGCACAGACAGGCATTAAGTGAAAGCAAGCACCGTTTATGAGATTATCTCTGCACAGTTTTAATTTGACCTGATCTTTAAAAGATCAAATAATTTGTGCTCTAGGATATCTTTATTAAAAAGGTCATGGTTTTCTGTAATCTATGCAGTGGCATCTACAGTAAATTAAGAGATTATTATATATTGATACAGAGAAATCCCCACACAGATCCATTCTCTCTCTCACACACACATATATACACAAAGTATATGGAAACTTGATTAACCACACAATTCAGCTTTTATATTGGGAATTTGTAATCTTTTCATCAGAAAGAACAGTTTAATACATTAACTTCTCATGACATTTAATTGATAGCGGTATTTTGAATATTTTTTTCATATGAGGAAAGGTCCTAACATAAAATAATCTCTTTTTGAGCTATGCCAAATATATGGAAGATAAAAGTATCAGACTTAAAAATTAAGTATTACAACACTTCTATTTTTAAGCTATAGTGAAGAAAATTCCTTCAAGACCAATGAAACACAGGCAGCCTGACATTTTAGAATGTATGTGCTTGTAATTTGAGAAATACACTCACATATTTTTAATAGTTATAAAATAAAGGAAACTATGGCCCAAAAACATGCACACAGGTCTAACTTCAGTAGGACTATATCTATTCTTTAAATTCAGTGCATGTGTATATGTTTTCAGGAGTGGTGTATTTGCACATGCTTAGCTAGTTACATGAGAGAAAGCAGATAAAAGGCAAGGAGAAGGTGCAGCAAGCAGTAAACGTAACCCTGACATATAGGGCTAACTGGAACTGTTAGAAATACTTGGTTGAGATTTTCAGAGCAGTCTAGAGGATTTAGGAACACCGCTCCCATTAACTTCAATGGGAGTTGCATGGCTAAGACTTAGTTGGCTTTGAAAACATCAACCTACATTTATAATTACAACCATTTTTTCTCATCTTCCTCTACCACAGAAGACAAACATTTGTACCCAACTTAGTGAAGGAGGCTTAGTTTAGTCATCTAAACATCGCAACACATAGGATACTTGCAATTAAACATTCAATTTCCATCAGATCAACTCACCCTTCAAAAGGTAGATAAATGGAGTATCATGAAACTTACTTTGTGTAAACCCTGGTCCAGTTTGCAAAAAGGTTCTGTCTGCTTTGAACGGACAACAAGAATCATTTCCTGTTTATTGCTTTAGGTGTAGAGTTTGGGCCTGCTGCTCTTAATCAACATTTTCCATTACTGTGCAGTGTACCGTGCATCAAACAGCTGCTTTTGACCCCAACGGTGGCTACATTTCAGTTCTGCACTGTGGTGTCACAAAAGTTACACCATAGTTAAGGTTGTGCCAGAATTTTAAATTGTGGCAGCAATGACAAAGTTATTTAAAAATTGTGTGTTTTGAATTGTAGAATTAACTTGAAATGCTTAGTGTAGCTGGTAAATTAATGTTTTGTGGTACTCTGAAGGCAAGAATGGCGAGAAAAGAGAAGGGAAAAATCATCCAGAGTTTAGCTAAATCTATTCCAAAAACCACCATGTGATAAAAAAAATTCTGGACTGTCCTACCTTTTTTTTCAAAAGCCTTTGATTTTATATTTAAAGCAGTCTAAGGTGTAGTGCATGTAATTCTTTAGTATGTGTTTTCCAGGCCAATGTTCGTTAAAACTTTTAATTTGTTGGACCTGAGCAATGTTGAATCAGAAGACCTTTCTAAATTAATGGTCTGTGGGACAGTCAAACATGCCCACCTGTTGATGCAAGAGAGTAGGAGATGGCCATTAAGGTTTTGCAAGTGCAGGCTGGATGAAGTTAGGGTGGGTATTGCTTTTCATTATTTGTTGGAGCGTTATGTATTTTTGCAGTACTGTAGGCTACGGTGGGTGCTTTGGGTGTTCTAATGCAACCTTCACTGTTACTAAACAAAGTTTGTGTTTGTATGTGGGTTGTGAATCACTTTGGGTTCAAAGGCAAAATAAGAATATAAACTGTTGTTATGCACTATTCAACCAAATGCATCGGCACCAACTCCGTGGGTGCTCTGGTGCTGGAGCACCCACGGGGAAAAAATGGTGGGTGCTGAGCACCCACTGGTAGCCCGCCTGTCAGCTCCCCCCCACCTCCCCCAGTGCCTCCTGTCCATCAGCGGGCCCTGCAAAACAGCGCCTCCCTCTCCCTCCCCACTTCCCCCACTCGCCACTAACAGCTGTTTCACGGCACACAGGAGGCTCTGGTGGGGAGAAGCGAGGACGCGGCACACTCAGGGGAGGGAGGGGGTCGAGCAGGGGCGTGAAGAGGCAGGGTGGGAGTGGAATCTTGGAGGAAGAGATGGAGTGGGGGCAGGGCCCGGGTCAGAGCTGGGGGTCAAGCACCCCCCGGAACTTTGGAAAGTCGGCGCCTTGACTGAATCAGCTATACTGTGATAGGAGTGTTTGTACCCCTGTGATGAAAGAGTCGAGCAATATTCTTTTAGCACTTATTCTCACCTTACTATCTCTCCAGCAAATGTATTGCTCAGGGAATAAGTGAATCAAGCCTGCAGGTTCTTTGATCAGTCTTGACTTTTATTGTCCTCCCTTGACCCAGGAGTTTAATTGGCATTATTTATTTTTATATATGGAACCCAAGAACCTTTATATTTGTAGAGAAGCACATGCATGTACGAAATGCAGTCTGGTAACTACAATAGGTATATTATTATTTTTCACTGACATGGTTCATTATTATTTTTGTTTCACTATTCAGAGTATGGAATAAATTGTATTACTTACTGCAAAAGTCAGAAGCAGGAATTTGTTCAAGAGCATGGGGTTTTCAAGGGCAGTCCCCGATTTTATTGTCTCCCATATCTGTCAGTGGACAAAATACATACATACATACATACATAAATAAATTTAAAAAAGCTCAAACTAATCATAGACAAGACATGTAGGGCTAGAAGGGACTTCAAGAGATCATCTACTCCATCTCCTTGTGCCAAGGCAGGATTAAGTAATATTCTCAGTAATTTAGGTATGATTTTGCCCTACTTAATTCAGCCCATGCTCTAATAAATGCTCACCCCAGAAGCAGGCATTTCAACAAAGCTCTGGTTTGTCCTGAGGTCTTGGGAATTACAAATGACAGTTCTACTATTATAGGCTTTACATTTCACTTTCATTCTGCTAGGTAAGGATCAGAAGCACAGAGCTCATCCAGAACTACATCTCCCATATGACAGACAAAACCTATATCAGCAGACATCTAGGCTTAAATTTTGAAGGTTTTACAAAGTTACACATAAAAATGATAACAATTAATATGTTTTTTCCTACAGCAACAGCCCCTCACATGGATGAACCATAACCAACACAGCAGCATTGGGTTGGTTTGTTCTCCTAGATCTCTCATACTTGCGATATGTAGGGTATTGAAACTGACAAAAATCCCAGTGGCAGGATCACAAATACGAAAAAGTCTAGAAGTGCAGACAGGTGGCATGCTATGCACAGTTAGAAACAAACCCAAATGTAGCCAATTAGTTCATTTTTGCATTCATTTGTTGTATAGTGTGTGATGTTATGATTAAACTCATACACAATGTCTATATATAATCATGGTATGCTAAATAGATTTAAATTGTAGGTTCATATAAGTAAGAGATTGAGAAGTATTTAGAAGTGAAGAGTATGCATTAGGTTTCTAAGTAAAGCAGAACTGAAACAAAAGGCCTACAGGCTGACCACTGTAAAATGTCAGCTTAGCAATACTAGGCTTTACATAAGCTTAAGAAATGCTTGATATAAGTAAGTGACCAAAGAGTGACCCTATGCCACAAGTTCAAGAGAAAGATGTGTCAACAGATGATGAAAAAAAATTGACCTTGATGTACTGTTCGAAATCAAGAGATACCTTACTGTAACATTTTTCCAACAAGTGTCCTGACCACAAGGTACATGTGCGTAGAGTCTAAGAAGAATAAAAGGAACTAAAACCTATGAAAAATGGGGCACTCCAATATTCTTGGGGGCACAATACAGATAAGGGAAAAGAGGGTTGACACCTTTGTGCACATACAGAGTGTTAGATATAGTCAGAGTCACATGATAAAAGAGGGCTCCCCTAATTGAATAAAATGAGTTACCTTCGTGAAAACTCCAGCAGGAAACATTCCTTCACTGATTATCAATTGGTGAGGAATCCATCAGACTCTAAAAATATCTTTGAGGATGTGAGTATGACTATATTTGTTACTTGTGCATGATTGTTTGTAGGATTTATATATGCTTGGATAATCATAACTTTGCTTGTGACTTTAATAAAACGTATAAGGCAGAATAGACGTTTTACTTGTGAATGTGTGTGTTATTTCCTTGGTCTTCATGTGTTCCTAGAAGCTCTAAATCAGAAACAAGTAGCAGAGGTGACTTTCATTCTGTTGAGCTTGAAACTTTAGCAACTAGAGTCAAATCCTCAGAAGTGTAATACAACATTACTAAATTCACTTTAAATAAAATAGAAGGCTACACCAGTCTGCTGAATATGATGTTTGTGGGACAAAGAGTTGGGATTATAAACAGTACTGCAGCCCTTGTTTAGAGGGCTGACAGGATTTTCAGTATCAAGGGGTCACTAAGAAAAATCTACCATGGCTTTCTGTATTAGCAAACATTGAACCTCCAGCTATCCATTGAGATATAGCCACAGCACAAAAACTTAAACCCGCCAAAGGCTCCCCAGAACTTCCCACCCACCAGGTTATGGTTAACATACCCCAACCATGCCTGAAAACCACTATGGACCACACGTGATCACCTCATGTCTCTGAATCCAGGAGGAAAAAGCAAAAGAAGTGGGGGAGGAGGAAAGGAGGCTGGAGTCAGCCCTTCAAGAGTCACTCTTGGGTAATTTGCACATTATTGACCCAACTAGCAACCCTCCCAGTTTTGACCTGCCACACAGACTTTGAACCACATTGAAACGCATCTGAACGAACCATGGAAAATGAGACTACCTGATGCACAAGTGGAAAATCAAAGACTCCCCTTCGTGCGACTACAGCGAGAACATCCAAACATTCAAACACATCATAATGGAGTCCCCCAAATATGGATTCAGAGGTGAACTGAATGATATCCACAAGTCATAGAGGAGGCCTTGAAATGGTTTATGGACTTACAACTTTATCTATAGAATGTTGCTCTGCAGATGCCATACGCACGTATGAGAGAGAGAGAGAGAAACACACACACACACCACACACAAAGAAAAAGTCTAGGATAGGTTACATTTTTTGACTTCTCTACTTCTCTTTAAGAGGCATCATCAAGATTACTGCATCATAACCATCACATGGTAAAGGAGCACTAGATCACAACAAGAGGGAAAATAATTAATGAGTTTGAATGAGAAGATGGGTGAAAACTCTATTATCCTGACCTAGGGCAACCTAATTAGGGAATCTAGGGATGAGCATAATAAGTAAATTCAAACAATTTTTTTTTAAGTGTGTAAGTCTCTCTCAGCCACTTCACTTTATTTAGTAACTTCTCATACAAGTTCTCTTCAAGGAGCAGACAATGTACCTCCTCCCCTCCAGTGGAACCAGCTGAAGGTCAGGTTGAATAACCTCTTTGCTGTTGCATCTCCTCAGTCGTCATGCCATTACTTACGCCCCAGAGTGCACTGTGATAATCTGAATCCCAAAAGCAAGCAGGAGCTGATTTCTGGGTTTCACAAAAGCAATGCTCCCTGGAATGCAAGTAACTGGGCAAGTCCAAGAGTGCTGCTTAGACAGATGAGAGGCAGGACTCAGCATGGAGGTTACTGAGCATCATCATCTAACTGCTGCTGTCCAGAGGTGATCAGAAGCAAGCAGAAGACACCAAACTACCTCCTCCAAAAGCAACTGTATCCCAAAGCCGGGATTAGATGGGTCAGTGGGGGATGATAGTCTCTCCATTGCCTGGGACTCAAACTGCAAAGTAGTTCACTAGCTTTCCCCAAATCCTGTTTTCTCTGTAAATGTATTTAATTGTTAACCTCACCTCATTTGCTGCTTTTTCCAAAAGTGACTTCTTATCACAGGATTTGAAAGATTCAAAAGTGTTGGTGTTATATAATGTTCCGACAGCAGGACAGCAGTGTGCCGGGGTGGCAGCATTCCTAGACAGGAGACAAGGACACTCGTGGAACCACATACTAGCATTTTTTCCAGAACTTTCATTAACAGCAACCAATGGGAACTCTCACATTAAGCCCCAATGATGCAGAGTTTTCCAAGCAGAGTGGTGACTCTATACATCACAACGAGGCAGAAGGCGAGTCAAGGACAGTTCCACTCAGAACGCTTGCAGGCAGTTACAAAAATGCTCTTGCATTCATGGACAAATTAGACATGCAACTCAGTAATTATTAGGATGATTTGATCAACTGAAGGCTTAGAAATGCAGAGCACACCTCACGACATAATGACAAATGCTGCCATGGAATTGGAGATAGGAAAGAGCTGGAAAAAATTTAGTTTTATGCTTCTAACAAAGATTATGAAGATAGACAATCTCATGTGTAGAGTTTGACCTGCCTCAGTGGCATCCTCCCAACTGTTCAAAAGCATATGAGAATTCTGCCTTTTAAGGAGGTGTTTTTATGCATAATTACTGCTGAGTCCTCTGGGTTTTCCCCAAATATTGTTTATAGTGTTTAAATTTAATTTAGAAGTTTTTGTCCTGTACTTCAGACCCCTAATAGAAGTGGAGATGCTTTGTCCCTGATTCAGCAAAGCACGTGCTTTACTGCTTTATCGAATGGGAATCAGCTTAAGCACCTGCTTAAGTGTACTGCTCACTGATGGTCTTTTTAAATAAAATTACTACTATTATTCATAAAAGCCAGCAAGACATTCCTTGCCTACTGCATTTTCCACATCCTTGCAGTTAATCACTTATTGTCTCTAGAAGGTGCAGGGAGGTTCAAATGTCACATCATAATGTACATTTTTCATGAGCACTATGATTTTCAGTGCAGAGTCTCTTGGGGAACCTCTGAGATAAATACTTTTTTTAAAAAAAAATTTTCTTCTTTTAAATAAAAAAAAGGTGATTCAGTTAAAAGTGGTAAGTTAAAAACAAAGACATCCCAAAGTGAACATAAAACACAGTACTAATGTTGAACAGTTAAAGTCAGAAAATCCAAAAGTTTTGTTACCTTTAGCAACATTAACTAGACAATGCTCCTTATAGATATTAGTGTGTTTTATTCCATTTCTTTACTGGTAGAATATGTAGTTTAGTAAATTAGGCTGCAATACTGCAAATACTTATATATTTGCTTTATTCAATGGGTGTGAGTAGTTCAATGACTTCCATGAGTCTGCAGTGTTTGCAAGACCAAGGCCTTAATGATTATCAGAAAAGGTACATTATAAATATACAGGACATGCAACTTCCACAAAATTTAAAGTCAGAAGAGACCATTTTGATCATGTAGTCTGAATTCCTGCATAAGACAGGTCAGAGAATTCTTCCACCCAGTAATTCCCACAGTGGATTTCTTTCTCACTGCGTAAGTGAACACTTGGTTGTTGTAATATTGCCATCAGAACATTAAAATAGCCCTGATATCAAGTTATACACAATTTTTGTTTTTCACAATTTTCTTCAGTTCCCGATGTTAAACGGTGTTTTCTGAGATGATTTTGTTGCGTTTCAATGTGACATTTACAATCTCCTGCAGGCAAATAATTCCAGTGGTAGCTCTATCCCACAAAAGCTTATGCCCAAATAAATTTGTTAGTCTCTAAGGTGCCACAAGGACGCCTCATTGTTTTTACTGATACAGACTAACATGGCTACCACTCTGAAACCTATCTTTTCAAAGTCATTAGTGAGGACAATTATGAAAATCACATTGAGATATCAAAATGTGGATAGATCCTCATTAAAATTCTGCTAATACTCTTAGAAGATGCACACCAAGCATATTCATAAATGATTTGTCAATTAAGTGTAACTATATTGTTATCCACCATTTTTTTTAAAACTTCAAAATCACATAAAATACTTACACATCAAAGGCACTAAACTCCAATGTTAAACGAGCTGGTAGACCAAAAGGATCACCTGGACAAAAACAAAGTTTCTTTTAAATAGCAGCAGCAGCAACTATGTCACAATAAAAACAACAGGCCAAATATAGTTTCCTGAATCAAGGGTCCAATCCTGTTCCCTTTGAAGTAAATGTGAATAGGATAAGAATCTCTAGTTTTTCATGTAGTCACAGATTTTATATCCAAATACAACTCATGTGATCTTTTTTCTATCCCTTATTACGACTGTGGAATATTTTGTACATGTAGTAGAAATTCTTATAACAGAAATATAATTAAACAAAAGACAACAGGAGAAAAACTGGTATGCCTAATAAAAGTTCAGTGTCTACCTACCATTATAGTAGTAGCCTTTGATACCTTTCGGAGTCTCGTCTAATCTATACTCATTAAGTTTCTTCTGCGTCAGCTCATGCCAGAATCCCGCATCCAAGGCACTGGTGAAGGGAACAAACTGTAGCTTTGGGATTCTAGGTTCCAGGGGATTGTGTGTCTCACTATCAGCAGTTGCCATTGTTTTATTCAATTAAAGCTGTTAAAAACAGACAAAAGTTCTGTGAGAAGAGTCATTCCTGATAGCTACTTACTGAGCTAATTAGGTTGGCTTTGGCTTTTGGGGGTTTATTTTAACAGTGTTTTGTTTTTCAAAGCCTATAGATGCCACTTACAAACAAACAAAATGTCAAAATCTTTAGTATAGTAGCCAAGCCCCCTCTGTCTATAAGAAGCGAGGACTTAATTTGCGGAAGAATGATGTGCGTGTATATACATACACACACATATATACACACACACACTCCTTCTGCAAATCAAGTTTTCGCTTTTTCGGGAACATTTTGTTCTTCAACATGCTAATTCAGTGCCAGAGAGAAGCAAAGACAAAACCGGTCTAACTAAACCTAATAAACACCAGATTCAAGGGTGGCCAAAGCACACTCCAGCAACCACATGTGGCCCAGTAGCCAGGGCCGGCCTTATGGGGGGGCTGCGCGACCATCCAGGGCACCATGCACGGGAAGGGGGGGGGGGCGGCTCGCTCTACGAAGTGTCAGAATAACAGACACCCCCCAGCCCGACTCCGCCCCCCCGCCCTGTTCACCTCAGCCGCAGTCCGCCACCATCTCCCGCGCCGCCGGCCCCTCCAACCGCTCCACCTCCGAGTCCGCCCAGCTCCTCCCCCAGCCCCCCTCGGCCACCATCCCCCGCTCCGCCTCCGCCCAGCTCCTCCCCCAGCTCCCTTCGGCCACCATCCCCCGCTCCGCCCCCAGCCTCGGTCCGCCATCATCCCCCCCGCTCCGCCCCCCGGCCGAGCTCCACCCCAGCGTCGCCCAGGGCGCCATCTTAGGTAGGGCCGGCCCAACGTATTTAAACTGGCCTTCCGTTATCCCCAGCTCAGCACCCATGCGAGTAGTAACCCCTTTCTTCCATTTGCTTCTGCTGTTACCATGAGTGAATATGATAGAGTCAGCTGGAGATGAGTCCAGCGCAAAGCAAATCCAAGGGATGGGTGCCAGAAGGGAAGCTGGAGTAAGAGCTAAAATCATCAGGCAAGCAAAGAGCCAGCCTGCAACCTCAAAGCAGTCCTGGGGCAACTGAAGTGCTCCGCTCAACCTCACTTCAAAGAGTTTGGCCACCCTGATAATCAACATAACTGTGAAGTGTTTCCAAAAAGCCAGTTCTGAAACAAATTTGATTGGGGGTGGAGAGAAACACTCCTTCCTATCTTGGATTAATGTATTTCAGCATTTTGTCTTAAATGAGTGAAATTAATTTAGAAAAACCTCCAAATAGCCAGTCTGAAATAAAAGCTTAGTGTCCACCCTTCATTCGTTTGTGAATAAAACAATCTATTCTGAAAAATATTTTGCTGACTGCTATAATGGAAGACTTATCAAATTGGAGTTATACAATACAACCAGGGATGTTTACATTTTAGAAGGCCTTATCCACTTCATTTGGTGCAAACTTAAAATTTTGTAAAAAAGGAACTTTCAAAAAAGCAAAACACTAATGTTTTCAGAATTTTACACTAATCTCCCTGAAAACAACGCTTAGTAAGCAAATAAACATCCCTCCCCGAGTCTGAAACAAAGTTTACAGCACTAAGAACCTCAAAGTGAAGCAATCTTTAGAAGAAAAGAAATGTAGATCTGACTTTATTAACTTTCATATTTCAAGCTGAAGGAAATGCATATTCTCAACTAAGAGCTCAAATAATGACAAGTAAATTCGATTTTTAATGGGCTTTCATTTGCACTCATGGTGTATATATAGCATAGGTGAAGAAATGTACTTATAACAATCAATTTTTAAAACTGACATCTCTTTAACCTGCTGATGGGTATCAACCTGAAATCTAATCTAGACCAAAAAATAAAGTAGTATGCCACCCATTGAGCCCCTCCGCCAGTGTCTGTGGTTTTACACTCATACCATCTTATTTTTACATCTTTCCCTTGTTTTAACCCGAAAGCCCCACATCAAGAAGAAGGGAAACTGATAGCAGATTATACAGAGTTAAAAGTGAAAATGATTATAAACTAAGCTATTACATGCACAATGTAAACAAACTGCAAAAAAAAATATGTTTTATTCCTCTAATCTCTTTCAGTTAGTGTAATTTTAGGATATATTTGTAACAAGAGCATGTAAAATATTTACAGGCAGAAATGAAATTTTGAGATTGATAGTGTCCCTTTAAATGCTGAAACAAAGTGGGTGTGGTAGTGTTACCTCACCCACCTTATCTGTAATATCCTGGGACCAACATGGCTACAACAACATTGCATACGAACTTTAAATGCAGTCAGCTATCCCACACCTCCAGTTCTTTCTAGCTACTGTACAACATTAACTGCCTATGACTAGAGTTGGTCAAGAAACAGAATTGTCTTCCTGCTGTAAGGAATTTTGACATTTCCAAATTAGCTTCCATTACAAATCTTAATGGAAAGTAAAAGTATCAAATTAAAAATTCCAAGCAGTTTAGAATTGTAAATGTTGAAATGAAAAACGTAATTTTGTTTTTAAATATTGACTTGAAATAAAAATATTCATTTTCATTCTCCTGATTAGAAAAACCAGAAAATTGTCAAAATCAACACTTTCTGAATGGAAAATGTTTTGTGCGAAAAATTTCAGCTAGCTCTACCTATGACCAATTGTCGCATTTATATCACCTCCACAGTTAGTCATTATTTTCAGATGTATTCTGGGTTCTTCTAAGTCTCTACTTCCATCTGGATCCCAGCTAAATTGTACTTTTATGGTCTAATTTTCTTTCTTCTGCTTTTACAGCATTTCTAGGCATATCACTTTATTACTATTTTTGTAGTTTTTTCCATTATAAAGAGGACTTGAAAAATGCACTCAATACTAGAAAATGGTCATCCTCCCCTGCTGAAAATAGGAGCCAAAGCCACATAATTTCTGAAGAATTTAAGCTTTTATGTAAAAAGGTTGCCAGCCCTTAAGGTGATGAAACATGACCTTCCAGACACCAAATGTAAACAGGTATAATGTTGTCTTCCTGAGTCTTCAGGCAGAGAGTGCCTCTGTTGCTGCTCACAGATTTGCCAAGCAGTAAAATGAAATTTACTAGACACTGGTCTCTCTTTCAGCTATTACTCAGAACTCTGGTGAAAACAACTGAACTGTAAAAATAATATGAGTTTTACTTCCTTGCTGCTACATGGGAAAACTATGAGCAGCAGCAAAACAGGGGTTGAGGAGGAACTCAAAAAAGAGGGTGGGCATGGGGTAGAGCAGAGACCTTTTTCTTTTCCATTCCACTGCAGTGGAATAATCTCTGTAATAAAAGTAGCATTATCACATTCAGTCACAGTAAAGAACCAGCACTGCTTGAAGCACAATTTAGCAGAACTAATAAAGGTTACTCCCTATATGACATTTCTAATTTATAAATGCAGGGTAATTCTTTCTATATTAGCCAACTGGGATACAGAAAGAAAACTTGAGAAGTGTTCATATCATGGACCCTTAAGTATCAGAGGGGTAGCCATGTTAGTCTGGATCTGTAAAAAGCGACAGAGTCCTGTGGTACCTTATAGACTAACAGATGTATTGAAGCATAAGCTTTCGTGGGTGAATACCCACTTTGTCAGATGCATGTAGTAGAAATTTCCAGAGGCAGGTATAACTATGCAGGCAAGAATCAGTCTAGAGATAATGAGTTTAGTTCAATCAGGGAGGATGAGGCCCTCTTCTAGCAGTTGAGGTGTAAACACCAAGGGAGGAGAAACTGCTTTTGTAGTTGGCTTTTAAGTTGTGTGTTCCATCTTTAACAGTTTAGGTAAATTAAACACAATCATTGTAATACAAGTTAATGAAACCACAAAATAAAAGGAAAGATATAAAATAGAGATTACTTTTTAAAAAAATGTATTTTACAAATCTCAGAAATTACTTTACAATCATGATAACTGAATTTGTTTTTATTTCAAAATCATCAGCACTCCTAATGCCACAATCATCCTGCCACTTTCAAAAGCACTTCTTCATTGCTTTTTGTATCAAAACTTCCTTTCATCAAATTAATACCTCACTATTTTCTAAGTAGTTTTCTGAGCTCTCTTGCATTTAGGTTGTGTACCAACAGTGCAAAAGGATTATAATCAAAATACCAAATAGAAAAATCTTTAGACCCCCAATTAAATTGAAACAAATATTTTTAATGAAAACATAGCAATAATTTTAAGAGATTAAGGGCAGATTCTTAAAAGTATACAAGCACTGTTGATTTCCATGGGAGTTAGGCACCTAAGTAGTTTTAAAAATCTGGCCCTAAGTTTAAGAAACACTCTCTTTCTTTTTCTCCCAAAAAGGACTCTTTGATTATACAATATATTCTCACAGAGCCATATTGTGTCACTGATTTTTCACAAAACTCCCACTGACTTATATGTACAGGTTGATGGTCCTCGTCCAACACCATCTCCCTATAACACTGCAAGGAGATGCTCTGTAGTTTTACTATATCACATCTTTGTTCAGATTGAACAATTTTCTAGTTTGTGTCCCCCATAAACTCACGGGTGCTGACAGCAACAGAAGGCTTCTGTAAGATTCTAATTTCTTCTCCCCTTCAGTAGCTGGTCTGGAAAGGCAGTTCCTTTTCCAGGAGAATTTCTGAAATCTAACAGATTCAGAAAACCACAGCTACACTTTTCTTTGCGCAACATCTGTCTCATGCAGTCTTTCCGGTATGTATCATGCACTCAGTTATTCTATTATTTCTAAATACAGCAAAGATGTAACACTAAATCATATCTTCCTGGAAAATCATGCAATCCCCTGCTGTCCCATTGAGGTCCATTATCAGATTCAGCATCAGACTTGATTTCTGCCAAAATTTCAAACACTATGTTCAGAGTATGTATACAATCTCTCTCTCTCATACACATATATGTGCGCAGACAGTTTACTCTTTACAACTGTTCTTCCTTATTTGTTAGTAAGTTTTGAGGACATCCTTCTATTTGGTTTTGATATTTTTCTCATTTCAGATTGAGAAAGCTGCATCAGTCTATTTATAGTGCTCCACACTATGTTAACTTTGTGAACACATATTGGACTGCATCATTGCATTTATGTGGTTTTAGCGCCAGCTGGATTTTTCGGTAGCGTGGATGCGTCTTATTTAACAGCGTCTCAAATCATGTACTGTTATACAGCAAGGTTTAATATCTATATATCTATAGCTATATCTTAATTTTAGACATTCTAATTTTGTCAGATTGTGGCTTATCTATCATACTGTAGAATTATCACTATCAAGACAGCTTTACTTCATTTTGCATGTTGTACCATAGTGTCTATCTGAATATGATTTTTTTTTGGCCTATCCCGTCCTTTGAAAACGTAGATATTTCTAGGGCACATGGTTACCACACATGTACATTTTGCTAATGTCATATATTTATGTCAAACACTATTACTTGTGATTTGTGAATATCTGTGCAGCAAATATCAGAACAGAGACATCTAGTGGATGATACCAGGAAACTCTTTTAAAGAAACAATATTAAACCACCTCTGAAATTTCCCAAAACAGTTTATTTTAAGAATGTGCCAAATAAAGCAACCAGATATCAGGACTTTTAAAAAATAAATTCAGGTTTAATTCCTTAAGACTCCAATTCAGCAAGGTACTTGAAGTAAAAAGGCCTATTCCTATGCTTGAAGT